TCAGCGCCCACTGGGCACAGAGAATGGCATGCTGAAGTTGGCACTGAGGTGGTTCTAACAAACATGCCAAACATTACAATAACACTATAAGTGCAGTCTTATTTGTTGTGTCTGTGAATTAAGAAAAATAAGTTATTAATTTATCACAATCTGGTCCTGAACAGGAAAGGGAAAATGCAGTGTTAAATTATTTCGACTTGGTTTGTAATTTGAGCAATAAATTTTGTCAGTATAGTGTGACAATATGCTTATGCGTTTGAAATGATATAAATGTGTTTGATAAATAGTATCTTAATGCAGTAATGGTGAGCATATTTTAAAAACACATTTTCACCCGTACAGACATCATATTGTAACACTTCATGGCGCAAGTTGTCACAATAGCAACCTGCCAAATTTTGAGCAAAACAGAAATAGTAAAGCTTTATGAGAACAAGACATTCTTATATGAGAACAAAAAGATTGTAACATACAAACGATGATATACAAAAATAATAATGACTATATTAAAACTATTGCTAAAATTAAAGGCAAAACCTTTTTTAAAAACACATTTGACGAATGTGAAAAATATTAGGAATAGTCAAATTTTTAGGTCACTTTATTTTGATGGTCCGTTTGTTGAATTTAAGTTACATTGCAACGAATTTTCATTAGATTATAAGTAGACAATTAGGTTGGGGTTTGGGTTAGTGTAAGTTGACATGTACTTGCAAAGTTTCTTTTGGTCAGTTAAGTGTATGTTGAAGGACTGTTAAATGTCAGTATCAACAGACATTAAGCAGACAGTCTACTAATATTCAAATGAGTTATCAGAATAAAAGTGTTACCAATTTTTATATAAAAAAAGTAAAGTAAAAATAAACAAATAAATAGGTAACTTTAGAAAAGAGAATTTGGGTTAAAGTATAACTCAATATATAGCGTATGTATAACGTAAAATACAAACATAGAACTATTTCTCATAGATATCAGCTTTTTTTAAAAATGTTTTTTGATGTGTTAAATGTAAGCTAAAATGTAAGATACGACTGAAGAGAAAATATAAATTAACTTAAATTCATACTATTCATATATATTGTTATAAACTGTGTGAGTGTGTCCTATCAAACGTACTTTGTAATTATGAACAGCATATCAAATTCATGTGCATGCGGTCAACACGATCAGAGGAAATGAAATGCTACAAAACGACAGCAGCTGTCTCTCTAAAAACCCCTCTAAAAAAGTGCTGGAGAAACACAGCGTTTATGTGTTGTCCTGGCTCTGAGTGGATTTTAAGTGTAAGCCATATAATTGAGGCTTGAGACCATTTGTATTTCTTGCAAGTGTTGGAGCAGCAACGCTTTCCAAAGCCAGCACTTATACCCTACGGTTACCCGATATGCTTGGAACCGGTCCCTGCACAGCCATCCTGGCCCCTCAGCATCTGGATCCACACAGTGCAAACATTTACTCTGCATTAAAGCCTTGTTCTGATAAGTGTGTTGTATAGATTAAACACGATTGGATTTATGACAGCTGCAACTCACGGCGACAGAAAAGCAAAAAAGAGACATTAACCAAACCCATGGTTATTTTCCATCCCGTTTAGATCTGCGTCGGTTCTCTTATAAATTTCTCAATATTATTTTGTGAAAATATACCTCATCAAAACCTTCTCCTCCCTAATTGCGTTTAATGACATATCTGGTGCTGGAAAATGTCAGTTTATGTCGGAAAAACAGATGATCTGACTTTTCCCGGAGAGTTGTTAAAATCCCACAGGGTTTGAAAAAGCGGCGGTTCGGCATTTAAAGCTGCCGAGAAGCTCTGCTCGCCATTAGCGTATAGAATCACGGTTTATATTTGTGTACATCGCTGTGAGGCAGACTAAAAATAAACAGAGCGATGGGCTGATGGGACGGCTATTAAAACCAGGATGGAATTTCCAACCATACTTATGGGATTATATCCGTAACGGACACCGAACTTGATGATCTCCTCACTTTTAAAGCGCAAACCCCATTCTTACGTCTGTCCGCTTGGGTCTGTCAATCAACATTTGCACTTTTGGTGTCGGCAACAAATGTTCGGACCATCGCTGAGACATTATGAGCTATCATATATCGTAAACACTCCAGAAAAGTGTTAAACGATGCGGTTGAAATTCCAGGCCGGCGTTTAGCGTTCAACCACAATAATGTTAAGTGTGTTTCATCTGCGTTGAAAATGTCTGAATCAGTTTTTTGGTCGGGACTTGCTGTCGGGTGCCCATGTGCGCGGGTGCCGTCGCCTTAATGAGACTGCAATGAAAAGCAGCCCATCTTTGGTGCACCACACATGTTCTGCCCAGTGTCGCCATTAAAGGAGCTTTATGAGATGAGATAATCAAACCTTTAAAGTGTATTAGACTTGTTGCGTTCGCGGCCGTGTGTGGGATGTGTGTCATATGAAAAACATAGGGACAGATGTAAGAAGAAACAAGATGCTGTTAATGTAGGTCACTTTAACAATTGCTTATTCATTTTGTGATTGTGTGTGGGAGTTAATGCTGGATGGGATCTGTGTAGATCTGGATGTATTGAGGATGGAGTCTTGTGAAAGACTGTAAATCGTTGTTATATTAAGACAGCTGTGAGAATGACCTTAAATTATTGAGTCCAATCTGCCTTTACAGCAGATCTGCAGCTTTTTAGTAAGCAATGACAGTTAGTGGGACCTGTACTGAACTGTAGATATACAGTGCACCGATTGAACCCTGTTTAAAAAGAATCAGTCTTAAGGTGTGTTCACATCTCTCTAAAAGACACGTATAATAGCTAGATTACAGCATGTCATTTATCAGACATTTGACAACCCGATAAAAGTCAGTTCAGCATGTTTAACTGGCAAAAACAAGCTCTGACAGACACTGACAGGGCCAACACACTGATACAACAAAATGTTAAAGACGTTCTGAAAATTCTGTCGTTTACTCATCTTCAAGTACAAGTAGATACATTCAGGATAGAGGTAGCCAGACACATTTCTGCTCACTGATGATTTGCCATTAAATTACATTCTGTTAAAATAGGTGTATATTTCCATATAATGTCCAGCTAGTCATTTAAACTACTGTATATACTGACAAAAACAATTGCATACAATTAAAGTGGCTATTTGCAAATAGCAATAGATACTGTTTACTTAAGGAAAATAGCATATTTTTCAGAAGTACATGCTATTAACACAGATGATGATTAAACTAACCTCTAAATTGCAGTTTGCATTTAGACAGTACAGGGGAATTGAAGATGCTAATCTTAAACTGTTAAATTACCTGTTTAATCACCTGGAAAAGCCTAAGACCCATGCCAGATTGTTGTTTCCATACATACTCATTTACACACATACACTACGGCCAATTTAGCTTACCTAATTCACTTATACCAAATGTCTTTGGACTGTGGTGGAAACAGGAGCGCCCAGAGGAAACCCACTCGAACATAGGGAGAACATGCAAACTCCACACAGAAATGCCAACTGACCCAGCCAAAGCTCAAACCAGCGACCTTTTTGCTATGAGGCAATCATGCTTTTATAATATGATATTTAGTAAATGAGAATCCTGAAATTGATGCTTATTGGGGCATTGACGTTTTTCCTACACCTTCACCTAACACTAACCATAAACACCTCCTTATTAAATATCAATTAGGAGATATAGTATTTACACCTCGAAAGGCATAAACCAAACCATCACAGAAAACAATGTGCATTATTACATTTTCAAAATACTTAATTTTATATGATTTGTGAGTCTTTTTACTCATGAGAATTATTCATCCTCAAATAATCAATTCTATATATATGATAGCAACAACTCAAAGCATTTAAGCAACCACACCATTAAAAATTTCCCCACAAAGTCAAAATGTAGTGGTACTTTATTATGGGAAATTTGGTTCCCACAGCACAAGGAAAACAGGTTACTCACTCATTAGATGGTTCTTCCTAAATAATTCTGTCAAGGGTTTCTAACTTTCTATTATTCTGTTTGTTTAGTAGGGGAATGAACATCAGCAATCTTAAAATATGTATCTTTTTGCCCCACATAAGACTTACTAACCTCAGAAAAAGAGTAAAAGTAATACAAAAACTAGTGATTTTTCAGCAGCGCATACTGTATAGTATAAAAGTACAGTAGCATGTCTAAAACCAGTGATAACTGAGGCTCTACAATACACCAAGCCTCTATAATACCCATTAAAACATATTGGAAAGTGTCTCAAGAGTGACCTTTCCTTGTGAAAGTGTGCATTATTGGCAGTATTAGTAACCTTCCCTCAGGGTGTCATGTATTGTATGAGCTGAGTCAACTGTCCTGCTCACAAGCACAATGCATTCCTCACAGCGCTGTGGATGTCGCTTAATAATATAGTGCGGTTGAGTCCACTGACCAGCCTTGACCCTACTGTAACTCTTCTACAGTATTACTAATGCAAAATATGCCAGTCATGCGTATCTCATGGCCGGAGACCCTTTGTGTGCCCATGAGTGCAGGCGCCAGGACTTTACCACACTTTCAGTCAAGCGCTGTATTATTACGGCCCAGCTCTACGTTTGTCAGTGTGTGTGTGAGTAGGTGTGACACACTGCCGTCCCACTGTCACACACCAGTCCGTCTCACAGAGGTCAGCCAGGGGTCGTGACACTGTCTGACTCACGACAATAGAGGCTTTGTGGACATAAGGCCATGGACGTGTCCCCGCTTAACGCCAACATGCACACGTCAGACACACACACACCAGTCAAGCTGTCAAACATGCTGAAATATGCTGTTTCTGAATGGGAGCATCAGATGAAGCCATCACAGTCTGCGTCAATTGAAGTACTCTGAATACTGACAGGAAAGTGTGTAAGGTTCAGTAAAGCCATTATGTGACATCACTGAACTCTCGCACACACACACCGTTCACATCCTCAATGTGTTGTGCATGTGTTGGTGAGTTTGCTGATGTCTTTGTGTTTTCTTTCAGATTGAGAATGTGGAGTGCTGTCTGAGTTTCTTAGGGGCCAGAGGTGTCAGTGTTCAAGGGCTCTCTGCTGAAGGTAAGACCCTTTTCCAAACTGCACAACAGCTGATAAATGCCTTCACTAATAGGCCTTCTATTCTTATCATTTGTGGTGTTATTTGCTGATTATGTTTAGAGTTAAAAATCCTACTTACATTTCTACCCGTGACATGCAGTGGAAATGCACTGCATTTTCGGGTAATTACCTGTAATCGTATCTTTAAATGTGTGGTTGGTTTACATTTTAATCATATTATTGGATGTGCACTCCATCTGTTACACTGCCCATATCATATAGTGAAGTGTTTCTTGTCAATAGGGGGTCACAAGTAGATGTATTCACACTATACAAGTTTTGAATCAATAAAATATAGTATTATAGTTGTCCATAATAATTCAGCCATATGTAAATAACAAAATAAATCACAAAAGTCATTTGAAACATCAAAGCAAACTATTTACATCTGTGTATTTCTGCTTTAAAATCAGTTAATTGAAATTTATGATGACACAAAATAAAAAATGTGGGTAAAATATGGACAAACTCAAACATTTATCATTTTCCTGATAGAGTTTCTCCATATATTTACCCAATGTTAGGTTGGGTCTTATTTTATTTATTATGTTAATATTAATTATGTTAATATAAATTATTTTACTTGTATGTAATAATGTAATTACTGTGATTTTACTTGAATGTAATAATATTACAACAGTAGCAACAACAAAAACTACAAGAACGACTGTATTATTATTATTATTATTATTATTATTATTATTACTACTACTACTACTACTACTACTACTAGTAGTAGTAGTAGTACTATTCTTATGTTGTTGTTATTTAATGTCTGTATTAATTATTATTAATAGCAGACAAATCAGAAGAAATATTGGTAACACTTTATTTTGATGGTCCACAGTATTAGAGTGTCTGCTTAATACCTGTTGATACTGCTCCTTTAACCAACATTTAACTGACTATAAGAAACTCTGCAAGTACATGTCAACTTTCACTAACCCTAACCATAAGCCTAACCCTAAACCTAACATTCTACTTATAATCTAATGAGTAGTTGGCATGTAGATGCAATGTAACTTAAATTCAACAATTGGACCATCAAAATAAAGTGTGACCAAAATATTTAAACTATTTTGGGGTCTTTCCCACAGTTTTGACATTTTTTTAACTTTTAAGTTTTAAAATAGTCAATTATATATGTGATAACAACAACTCAAAGCATTCAAGCAACCACACATTAACAAATACCTCAGAACAAAATACACAACAGTACCCTTGCATTTACTCATACCATAAAGCATTATACTTGTTAAGCTGACAAGCAAAAATCATGGTTTTAGATTTTTGTCCTTGTATCTTTAAGTGACACGTTGTTGTGTTCATGTACAGTAAAAGTGAGACGGAGCATTTGAACCCAGAGACAAGCTGAAATTTCAGTTAAATCATTTTTAGATGGTTTTATTTTTCTCAAAACTGCTGCATAGACAAACCACAAAGATTCTTGATTTTCTTTTAGAAGCTCAAATGTACTAAATGCTGTGCAAAGATATCATTACCCTAAAGCAGGCTGGATACTGTATTCACTGTCCTGCTAAACTCAGCACCATGAGTGCACAAGACCAGAAATACACTGTAGATTGGGTTTCTCAATGCTTTTATCACACACTCGCCCTTTTCTCTATGTGTGTGTGTGTGTGTGTGTGTGTGTGTGTGTCTATGTGGGTGTCTATGTGTGTGTATGTTCCTTTTAGCTTGTTTCCTAAACTGTGAGCCTAATTAAATTAAAGGTTTCAAGGTTGGAGTTTTGAACTCAAAATGATTAGCCCTCATGAGAAATTTTAGTTCTTTTTAAATTAATTCCCAAGTGCCTTTCAACTGAGATAAGGTTTTTAAACATAATATCTTGAATAACTATTTTCTAATAACTAATTATTTTGTCTTTGCCATGATAACATTGTAGCATATTTTAATAGTTATTTTACCAGATATTAGTATCCACATTCAAATGCATAACTAGTTTAATTATGTTAATTAGGCAAGTCATTGGGCAACAGTGGTTTTGTAAAAAGTTAAGGAGATAATAGCCCCTTTCACACATACAGACCTTTCTGGAAAATTGCCGGCAATTTTCCGGAAAGGTTGTATGTGTGAACAGGTCCTTTTTGAAAATACTGGTAAATTCGTTCTGGCTATTTTCCGGAAAGAGAAGTTGTAACATTACCGGCAATTTGCCGGAATGCTGCGCTGTGTGAATGCAGAAGGAAGATTCCCGTAATAAGCGCGGGCACGTCTAGAACGTGCTGACGTGAGACGTCTGCTTTAGCCAATCACAACAGTCAGACGCATTTACGTCCGCGCGGTTTGTGAGGATAAAAGCCTTTGAATATTTTTCCAGACACATTTTGCTGCTAGAAGTTAGTCAGATCACGTTTATATGTTCTTCTTAATGCCAACTGTGTAAATAATCATCGATGAGATGCTTATGATAAGCCGTTGTTTGTTTACCTTCAAGCTTTGCGTGCGCCTATGAGCGCCTGCACACGCACATATTATGAACATCTCGACATGCGAAAGTGATCCTGCGAAAGTTGTTCACAATATTGATCATCCACAGAGTTTGTAATTTAGTCAAATGTTTACAAATACAAGCGCAGCCATTTAAAGCTCATTTGTGGCAAATGATGTCAGAATTTACCGGTATTTTGGAATGGATGTGTGAATGCTCTTTTCCGGAAAATTTCCGTAACGTCCTCGTCTGTGTGAACAGAGCTTTTTTGAATATACCGGTAAAGTCGTTCTGGAAATTTTCCAGAAATTTACCGGTATCACTGTGTGAAAGGGGCTAATAATATTGAATATTGAATAGTATAAAATAAAACGGATGAATGGATGGTTGGATGGATGGATGGATAATTAGGTGGTTGGTTGGTTTTATGCAACCAATACTAATATAAATAAGACTTTCTCCAGAGGAAAAAAAATAATGCAAATACTGTGAGCATTTCCTTGCTCCATTAAGCATAATTTTATATACTATTTTTAAAAATATTACATATCACAGGAGGGTAACAGTTTTTGAATTTATTGAACTGTTTCTCCTGGAAAACAATGCGATTAAATGTAGAGCAGATCAAATTTAAACGTCTAATACAATTATAAATAAATTGCCATTCCTAATAAAAAAATATAATAATTTAACTAAATATATATTACACTATGAGTGTAGCTGTCACATTGGCTTCTATTTATCATTCTAAGTAACTTTAAGAGAAACATCTAAAATAAAGTTGGCTCTTAAATGAAACCTAACCTCCTGCAGTGTGAAAGCACATCCTCTCTGCAATAAAGCTGTCCTCTTGACCCCTGCTGAGTGTTATCCTAGCCCTGTTTTCTCCAGAACAGGCCAATAATGATAGGTGCAAACTCTCAATATCCCTCTTCCGGCTGCAGTGGTCTTGACTCTGTGTTCACGGTGTGTAGAGTATCAGAAGCACACAGCGGGATGCCAGTTTTAAGTGCTTTAAAGAGCAGGCCTCACTGTGACCTCTGCACACCCACAGCTTTCATCTCATTGACTGTGAGGGTCTGGTGAAGAGGGGCTTCTGCAGGGTCAGAGGGGGCACCTTTAACACTGCTGACCTGAGCATGAAACCCACCATGACATGAAACACACATTCATATACACAGGTGTGTGAAGATACTGGCTCATGCCAACTCAGCATAACTAAATAGGCACTTCCTTCAAGCAGATTAATCCTTTGCTCAAATAAAAAAAATATCCTCACAGGTCACAGAAGAGAGATCAAGCATGACCCTCTGAGGTATTCAAATTGAAAGACACTCATTAATATGTAAAATACAGGGAGCCTGTTTTCATAGAAATCTCTTTTTCAGCTATATAGTAAAGAGAGTTTTCTTAAAAATGTCATCATAATTGATGAACTGTCAAATATTCCTTTATTTGTAAAATAAAATATGGACATGGTTAATGTTAAATTTAAAAAACTATACAGCAAGGGACTAAAATAACTTTATATTAAACATATATTTTAATAATAAATTGTTATTTTTTATGTATTTAGTTTAAATAGTTTTAAATAATAAGTAAAAAAATAAACAGTAGAAGCGTCACATTGGAATTATTATTATTATTGTTATTGTTATTGTTGTTGTTGTTGTTGTTCAAACTAAACATCAGTTGTAAACTTATTTTCAATATTAGAATGAATGAATGAATGAATGAATGAATAAATAAATGAATTAATTTACTTAATATGAGAAAGGCTATTAATAATAATAATAATCTATTTATTATTATTACTACTACTAAGTGAAGTTTCACAAACTAATTTCGAGAGGAACATGTGATATGATTGATCGCGGCTGGCTTCAATTATCTTTATCCTCAGGTTTCTCTCCCGGCACTATCTTAATATGAACTCTTGAAAAATTAACATTGATTGTCAATCATTCATTCATTCATTCATTCATTGACCAGTCAGTAAACTATATTAGCAATAAATAAATAAAGAGGAGAAGCACATCTAATTGAATATATTAGTATTATTTTTATTATTAATATTAGTAGTAGTAGTATTTTTGTTATTATTTTATTAAAAATAAACGCCAATAAATGCATTTATTTTATTTTATTTAATAAAATAGAAATTAGTTTTAAAAGTATGTCTATTTTATCCAAAGAAGAAAGGAGCACTACTGTTTAAGCAAAAAAAAAATGGCCGAGGTCGCTTGACTGTAAATAGACAATGTATTTGCACTTCCCTGTCTTCACTTCCCTTTATGAACCCATCTAAAAAGATATGCTGTGTGAAAAGATGCTCCACATTTAAAAATCTAAGACGCAAGGTGATTTTTTTTTTATGTGTGCAATGAAAGATGATGAAACATGTATTGCAGGCTAGCTTGCTCATTTTCCTCAAGTGCATAATCTATTAATTTCCATAACCCATATTAACAAGAAACTATGCTTCTAACACCTTAAAAGCTGAACATCCCATCACATTTGTTGGCTTTGAGAAGCTTTGAGTGAATCTTTCAGCTATGTTGAATGATGCAACCATAGCTGCCTAAAGATGCTTTTGGGAAACACACCCCAAAACAGTAATGTCTTTATGTGAATCAACATTGCCAAAATCCAAATGCAGTCCATATGCTGTTGCACAGAGCAACTGAGGGAAAAAGACAAACTCCCTCCATTAATGCAAACATACAAAAAATATTTACAAATTAGCCTGCCTGGATCAACAGTATTTTATTTTCATTTTCTGTATTGACCTAAAGTGCAACGACACCAAATAGTGCCAAATTTCTGTCGCCTGACCCAGAAAATATGCTCTATTCAAACATACCATCTGAACGTTTTATTATGTAGAATACAAATTACAGCTCAGCACGGTCCCAAATTGAACCAGGGGGAGATTAATAACCCCAAACACTGCTGACGGGCAGAACAAACAGGCGGGCTGTCAGAAAGAAAGCAGATTCTTCTCTTTAGCCCTGTCTCAGCACCACCATCTCTCTCGGTTTCTTTCAGCACCAGCCATTAGCAGTGTGTGAGTATGAATGAAGGCCATTTCATAAACGGGCACCAGAGAGGAAAGTGTTGCTGGCAGGCGCAGGAGTGCAGACAATCGATGCCTTTGCCTTCATCTTTAATCCTTTATCTCTGTGATCAGAGCAACCGCGACCTAGCACTTATTCAAACTGGCAACTTCAATTTCAATTGAAAAAAAAAATGTTTGAAAAGCCTTGCTCACAGGATACCTGGCAGCATTCATTTGCATTGCTCTGAATCAGGATAATAAACTTCATCTGACTCTTCAAAGTTTGACTTATTGGAAGCCTCATGAAAGGTCTAAAGTTAGATCTATTGTGTCACAGTACTGGTATTGGTGATGAGTGTATTATTTAAAACATGTTAATTAGGAGTATCACAATATACTGTAGCAATATTTGCTGTAAATGTTGATTTAAAGGGGAAGTTCAACCTGAAATGAAAAATATTAAAAATATATTATATTAAATTATTAATCTAATTATTATTATTAATTATTATTATATTAAAATATGTAATATTCATTCTCCATATACAACAAGAGTTGTGAGACATTCATAAATAAGACCCTGAACTGACACCAGAAAAATAACTGTTCAATATATATATTTATATATATATATATATATATATATATATATATATATATATATATATATATATATATATATATATATATATATATATATATATATATAGTTTTTTCTTTTTTTCTTTTTATGGTTTTGTGTGCATAACCTTATTCTTGTAGCTTTGTAACATGATTAAACCACTGACAAAAATTTTTTAAGATATTTTTGCTGCCTTTCTGAACATTGATGAAGGAAAGGAAAGCTCTCGAATTTCATCTAGAATATTTCAATTTGTGTTCTGAATATTGAACGAATGTCTCAGGGGTTTGGATAGACATGAGGTTCAGAAATTAATTTGATAATTATTTTTTTGTGTTTGAACCAATTCTTCAATGTAATACAGTATACTTGTTTATAACCTTGTTTTGGTCCATTTCAATATAAAAGTCTTTGCAACTCACTCATAATGGTATTTCTTTTTTTTCCGCCAAAAATAGTAAAGATGCAGGCTTATGTCATAGGTACAGCTGTGCTAATATACAACCGTATCACAGCTAATAACATTTTTAGGGTTTTTTTTTTTTTGGAAAATGTGAAAATTGCTCACATATACATTTATTCAGGAATACAATGCCAAATGAGGTAACACAAGATCAATAAATCCACAGAGTTTGTCAGTATTAACACTACTCAGAATTAGTAACCATTCATTCATTCTCTTTCCGTCGGCTTAGTCTCTTTATTTATCAGAGATCGCCACAGCGGAATGAACCAGCAACTTATCCAGCATATGTTTTTACACAGGGGATGCCCTTCTAGTTGCAACTGGGAAGCATACATACATACATACTCATTCACTCACATACACTACAGCCAATTTAGTCATTCAATTCACATTCACATTCAGTCATTCAATTCACCTATACCACATGTTTTGACTGTGGGGAAACCAGAGCCCCCCGAGGAAATCTACGCGAACATACAGAGAACATGTAAACTTTCCACAGAAATGCCAACTGACCCAGATGGGACTTGAAGCAGCAACCTTGCTGTGAGGCGACAGTAAGAAAGATGAGTTCCACAAACTGTAGTGAGCTATAGTGAATTCAAACTAATGAGTGTAGTGATTTATTTATTTTATTAAATTACAGCTACCATAATTCTGTAGTGCAAAATCAGATACAGTGAGAGACAGCCCTAATCAGATTCAATAAGGAAAACATCTGTTTACATTTAATTTATGACGCACAAAACAAGACTCCAGACAGTCAAATGACCATGCTAAAGTTGATTCAGACAGTCCCATCTTGTCATCTTGTATCACTTCCTCATTCAGATAACTGAACTTATCTCCCCCTTACTGTATTCTCAAATGACTATAAACACAACTCCAACTTCCCTAAAATGAGCCCAGCAACAGTACCGTGTAACTCTACGGCAGAGTTTAAGCTTGATTCTGCACTAAAAACATGCTGTCGTTACGGTTTGTTGTATCAATGTCATGCCGCCGCTGACAGGATTAAACAACTCTTCCTGTTGTACTTTCTAAATGTGGTGTCTTTGATCTTCAGAGGTGTGTAATGGGAATCTGAAGAGCATCCTGGGTCTGTTCTTCATCCTGTCCCGCTACAAGCAGCAGCAGCAGCACCAGCAGCAGTACCTGCAGTCTCTGGTAGAGCTCCAGCAGCACGTCACACATCAGACCACAGGGGCGGCACAACTGAGCCAGCACAAAACACAAGACATGCAGTCCAGGTAGGACACCTCTTGTGTTGCTTCCTTATTTGAGTCCTGCACACTTAGTCATGAGCTATATAGTTATAAAAATATGTCAAAATGCTAGCCGTAGTTGCACTCTTGATGCAGTTTTTGACACTAAATCTAGTCAATATAAAGTCAATATAAAGTATATATTGTGTTTTATTATATTATAATATATTATATAAAGTTTCACAACCTCTGTTTTACAGAGCGTACACTCAAAATAATCATGTTTCATGCTTGTTCAAACTACTTATTTAAAATAAGCTGAAACAACACAATTCTTGAGTTTTTTTAGACAATTAATTGTTTTATGTTAAATCCACAAAAATTAGTTAAAACAAATAAGCTAACTTAAATCCTTCATGTCGCTACACAAATCGATTGTGTGGAGCCCAGCATTTTTTACAGTGTATTGTTGCACACTAAAAAATTATGTTTGGTGTTTTAACTTTGTATAACTATAAATTTCAAAATGGTTTACAAAATAATCATTGCAAATACAGAAAAAAAGCCTATAATTCATAAAGTAATACACTGATCCTTATGAAATTTGGCATGCACTTTGAACTATGTGATTGTAGAAAAGCTTGCAAAATTTAGTTCTGCCCAAAAGTGGCGTTATAATTAACAATTAAAAAGGTGTGCAATGCTATTTTTTTCTATGGTGATCTGTTCATCGGGTGTACTAGAACATTCTTTTGTGCTTAGTAGTTTGGATTTTTTTTTCACACAATTTACATTATTACAAAAACTTTTCCAGTGCCCGGGACAAACTGCTTGGCTTGTTCCGGGTTTAATGAAGGCCCACCTTTCAAAAATCAAAATGTGTTGTGTTTGGTTTGCTGTCCTATTGCATTGTGATTGGTAAACAGCTTAGATGGCATTTCAGTATTCCCACGCCCTTTACTCAAGCAGTCAGGGAGAGAGTCTTCCAGCTGAATTTGATGAAAGAAAGTTGAGTATATTTCTTGTCAAAAATTTAAATATTTCACATACCCACACACACCCTGGAAACAAAATCTTGACGGTGGCGTTTTAGCAGCTCCAGCTGGCGCAATCCCTGAGAACCATTGCAATCTGCGGGTATATATGCTTTATCACAAAAAGTTACGTTATACTTTCTTGCTCCAGCTAAACTCTTTCTTAAGGAGCTTCTGGGAGTTGTCTGTTATCTGTTATCATTGCCTGTTATCAGTGTTTTCAATGATATAACGTTGTTCAAGCAAAACAAAACAATACTCACGAGTGTTTATGGAAATGGCAGTGATAATTATTTTATACATGTGCTGATATGTTTTATTTACAACAGACACACAATGTTTATGAAGCTTGAAAGTTTACTTTAATCCTCTTCTAGTTAAACAGACACTTATTTAGACACATACTGTATATACAGTAGGCCAGATTTTGGCCGACTCACTGACATCAGTAAAATTCTGGAAAACAACACTTGTAGTCCATTGAGGCTTTCGTGGTTTTAGTTCTTTTTTTTATACCCAAACATGCACTGCACACTGACTAACACATTCAAAAGTGAAATGCATAACAATATCTAATATACTCAACTCAAACCTTTTTTTTTTTTTATTAAGCTCTTTCAAAGACCCTGACTATAGTTAAAGTGTACATGGACATGGAACTTCGCTTGTGTACACGTAACTTCGCCTGTGTTATGGCACTTTGCTGCAATTTTAGTTTTCCTAAACGGGATATTAAAATTGAGTCTGGGTCTGTCTAAAGCGTTGTATGGGCAAATTTAAAAATTTAATAAATTAATTAAACTAGTGTCTAATATGAAATCAAACTAGTTAGTGAAAATATTTCAAAACAAGGGCAGTTAAACAGTGATTATTCTTTATTCATTCAATCATTTTCTTTTTGGCTTAGTCCCTTTATTAATCTGAGGCCGCCACAGCAGAATAAACCGTCAACTTACCCAGCATGTGTTTACACAGCGGATGCCCTTCCAGCTGCATCCCATATCTGGGAAATATCCATGATTATTCTTATACTATGTGAAAATTTTAAAATTATATAATACTTTTCTTTTTACTAGTCATTTACAAGTTTTATTAGCCAAGTAATATTATTTATATGATGTAATGAAATGGGTACTATCAATTAATGCTTAATAAGTCATTTTAATTTGTGTATACTTTAATATTTAAAGATATAATATAATATAATATAATATAATATAATATAATATAATATAATATAATATAATATAAAATAATATAATATAATATAATATAATATAATATAATATAATATAATATAATATAATATAATATGATATGATATAATATAATATAATATAATATAATATAATATAATATAATATATTATATTGTATCCCATCATATAATATTTATTTAATAATTTATATATTTTTTAATAATTTATTTATTATAAAACAACATATTATGTATTAACTGTTTATATTATGTAGAAGATAACAATTTCTAACATATAAATAAATGTTTACTTTTTAGTACTGCAACTTTAACTTGTTTAACTGTAGCTTATATTATCGGTAGCCAACTACAGTAAGCCAGAATAAGACAATCGCGTGTGTTTGTGTGTGTTGTTAAAAAAGGAAGGCAATGAGTGTGATGTAAATAGATGAGTAATCTTAGCAGCGCCCATGAAGACGAGATGCCACACATGAATGCCATTACACAGCCTGACTCACGTTACCTGCCCCAGAATGCATTTGTGTATGTGTGTTCATGCATTTTTGGATGTGTGCTGTAATTTGACCTATATTGTGAGGACCTACAACCTTCATAAGGTGTAAATCCAGTTTCATATGTTCCCCAAAATAGGAGGATATAAATATTATTCAGTAATTCAAATAATAAAATAAAAATACTTAACTATTATTATTATAATTATAATTAATATTTTTGATGCTTATGTTTATAAAAAAGAGTGATTATCTCAGTATTAAAACAACTATGCCTATGTAATGCCTTTACAAAGAGAGGTATATCAACATGTGTGTGTGTGTGTGTGTGTGTGTGTGTGTGTGTGTGTGTGTGTGTGTGTGTGTGTGTGTGTGTGTGCGTGTGCGTGTGCGTGTGCGTGTGCGTGTCTGTGTCTGTGTCTGTGTGTGTGTGTGTGTGTGTGTGTGTGTGTGTGTGTGTGTGTGTGTGTGTGTGTGTGTGTCACTGGCTAAAAAACACGAGTGTGCGTTTTGTAGTGCTGAGTTCTCTGTACTGTCAGCATTCACAAGTGTAGAGAGAGAGAGGAAGACAACAGCTGCCCCTCATTCTTGTCCAGAGCCCATGAGACTCTCTCAACTCTTATCCAGCAGCGACAGGTGTTCACACACACATACACACAAATGACATCAGCAGGCAGAATTGGGCCAGGAGGGTTGTGGATTGGCTTCAGTCCTGCAGGATGTTGTAAAGTCAGTCTCTTCCAATGATTATCAGACTTCTCTCTCCAGATTCTGACAGTCAGGGAATAAGGAGGCTATTGTATGGCTTTTAGGAAGTGTTTGTTCAAAGCTTTACCCGGTTGATGCTAAAGGTGTTAAAATGAGTGGTTGGTCGATTAGTTTTGTTAGCATGTGTGTTGTATCAGTCACAGAAATCTGGGCTATTAATCAACTTAGCAGCACTGAATAGCTTAAACAGACTACTGAGGTTTCTTTAAAAGTAGCTTACTGGCATTACATTACTGGCAACACTCATACACTCTCATTCACACACACATATACAGACAATTTAACTTACCCAATTCACTTAAAGCGCATGTCCTTAAACTGTGGGGGACACCGGAGCACCTGAAGGAAACCCACGCCAACACGGGAGATCATGCAAACTCCACACAGAAATGCAGATAATATAATATAATATAATATAATATAATATAATATAATATAATATAATATAATATAATATAATATAATATAATATAATATAATATAATATAGTATAATATAACAAATATAATATAATATAATATAATATAATATAATATAGTATAATATAATATAACAAATATAATATAATATAATATAATATAATATAATATAATATAATATAATATAATATAGTATAATATAACAAATATAATATAATATAATATAGTATAATATAATATAACAAATATAATATAATATAATATAATATAATATAATATAATATAATATAATATAATATAATATAATATAATATAATATAATATTTTCTTTAAGTGCACTGACCTCTAGTTCACCCAAATTTTTATGATTGTTTACTCTCCCTCCAATGGTTTCAAACCTTTTTGAGCGTTTCATGGGTTACAACAGAAGATATTTTGAAGAATGTTAGAAAACAGCCACCACTGATATCCTTTTAAGAAAAACAATACTTAGGAAGTCAAAGGCTGCAGGTTTCCAACATTTTTCAAAATATCTCATTAAATGTTTTACTGAAGAAAGAATCTAACAAGTTATAGACAAGTGAAGGATGGGTAACTGATGTGATTTTATATCTCCTGCTATACCTTCCTTTTTCAGTTGGGTAATTTAAAACACACAAGACATCGTTTCATTTTGCTTTGAACGAAGAAGCTTACTTTTAACACTTTGACACTCAGTCAGCATGGTATCTGTTTGATTTTAAGCTAAATAGCATAATACAACACTGTCTGAGATCCCTGGGAATGAGGGATGAGCTTTTTTTACACACACTGGCTGCTTTTACCCATAGGCACTGCTCCCAATCACAGTTTTAGAGATCCAGGCTTTCTATAGCCAACACCTGCTGGAGTGCTGGTCAGAAAGAGGGAGAGAGAGAGAGGCAGAGCTGGACACTGCGGTGCCTTTAGGTCTGGGCAAGATATGGGGGGTAAAGTGTCATCCCTCCCTCTCAACGCAACATGTCCCGAGTTGAACGGCTCGAATCGGTGGTCTCATGCTCACGATTGCCTGCCCCCAGCTCACGGGACAGGAAGAGCCGGCTGTCCTATGGGAGAAAGTCTGACGGCAATAGGTA